TCGATCTCATTTGGTATGTCCCACCACAGCGCCTGGGCGTGCTCCTCCTCTGTTTTTGGCCGCCACTGCACCGAGTCTCATATTACGAGATGCTTCGATTACTTTGCCACCCACATGGGCATATCAAAGTAAAGGCCAATAAACAACCTCAACCCCCCTCCCCCCCAATCTTCGTAATGAAAAAAAATCATCGGCCGACAGCTTACGCAAACCCCAAGCTCGGTGCTAACCTCGGCAACACCTGCCTAATTCCTCCCTCCTCGTCCTTTTTTTCTGCTCTCTCTGGCCTGGACGCCGAATCGAGATTAGGCCGTGCAGGTGCAGTGCAGGTGCAGAGGCGATCTGCGTTGCCTGGCTGGGAGGGGAGGATGTACGTAGATACGGTGTAGGAGGGCAAGGGGGAGCTAATGTGTGGATACATTGGATGGGGTACGAGGGATTTGTATCTACTGTTCATGCTGTGTACAATGGACATTGTATGTGTGTATGTACAGAGTACATGTCATGCTAATACAATGACGTCCTTTGTGCGTGCGGGCACGGTGCTCCTACGCATGTATGGGTATGCTAGGTACACCGTGTATTATTCCCTCCTTTGACGCACCTGTACCTATACACACCGGTACCTTGCGGGGCGATGGCGGTAGAATGCGATCGTCTGGGTGCATGTTGGCGTTTCCATCTCCCAGTCTCTGTGCGCGCGCGCTCTGGTGTCATGCCCTGGACTCGTGGGGGGGGGGGGTTTCTGTCGGATTCGGATTTGGAGGACATGGTGTGTACGGTAGGGGGTGGGATTTGTGAATCGTGGGATGTGATGTGCTAGTGGTAGGGAGGGTAGGGTACCGGTAGGGGGCCTGGTACCTTGCGTCGTTACTCCTGGCCTACCTACCATACCTATCTACCATACCTGCCTACCGTCAGGGTCAACGGTGCCAGAACAGCAGATGGGCGAGACGTCCGAATTAGCTGTGACAAATGGCATGTAGGGATATGTGCATGCACATACCATGGAATACATGGGGATACATACGACATACGACATACGACATACACACCACGCAAAAGATTGGGAACTCTTCTCCTCATCAACATCCAAGTGTCCACGCGGCTACAACGAGCGAATCCGAATCCAGACAAGCCTCTGGCTCTCCCGGCTCGGGGAAAACAGAGAGCGGGAGGATCATTTCAAACGTTTGCCCAATCACTTGTCACGGGCGTGATGGTCGGTTGGAAACTCTATCGGGGGGCCGTCCATGGAACATTGGCTTTGTGGGAGGGGGTTTTTTTTAAACAATATTGCTATCGACTACGGTATCTACCATGGGCCTCATGGGGAAATCTCTCGCCTCGGGCTTGGGACTACGAGCGAGTTTAGGTGGTGGCGGGAGGGGGGAAGTCGGGATGACTTTTTGCTCTGTGGTGTAGCGTTCACGCTATTGAATATACTTTGCGCTGCTCCTGGCTTAGGCACACGGTTCGCGCGAGGTGTGTTTGTGTTTGTGTGTGTCCGACAAGACAGTATTGGCTGCCTGCTAGGTAGATGGCCGATGAGCCCCTTCACCGCGTGGCGATCTGCTGCGAACATGAAAGAAGCTTCAGCGGAACGTCAATCGGCCGCTCTACTGTAAACTTTGCACCCATGGTTCGCACCAGCGGCGCTTTGCGCTCTGCGAAACAATGGCATGCGTAGAGTTGGCATGGTGGCTACCGGTAGCCGATGTTTACCTGGTCTCGCTCCTTTCCCCCGACTTTCCACGGCTCCATGCACTGTACTGTGTAGGTGGGTAGAGCAAAGCCAGACAGCTGCAGAGCTGGAGTTTGATGTACATGGCATGGTACAGTACATGTATAGGTAGACACTAGTAGACAGACACCGACACCAACACCAACACCCTTGCCTCGCTTCGCTCTACGCGATCATGCACCGAATCCTTCCCTCCTCAGGCTACACAATCGTCTTTAGACGAGACAACGAGGACAAGAAAAAAAAAGGGTCTCGTCAGATCCAAGGGCGGAATTAACGTACACGGAACATTACAGGTACATGGCATTGCAACCACAACCCCCCCACTCTCCCCCCTCGATTCAGACGCGGGAATCAACAAAAGTCCAGGCACTCGGTTTCAACAAATGCATTGAGAAGTGCGCCTCGAAAAGAAAAGAAAAAACAATAGCCGCATAGCCGTCGTTGAGACCGCCACCTCGGGATCTGGCTGCTTTCCACACTACCCACGCGCTTCCCAACATTGTTATTTTGCCATTTTTTTTTTGGCGAGTCGCAAAGGCTTGGGCTGGGTTGGGCCCGGTGCTGCGGGGCCAGAGACGGCCGTTCATGCTCATGATGCTCGTGGCGCCCCTGAAAAAGGTAAAATATATACAGGTAACCGTGGTATATGTGCGTGTGTACTACCTCACACAGTAGCCGACAACCATGAACCCTCCCCCAGTTCAAGTCTTTGTTGAATCAAACGGGCCCAGGCCTAGTTCTCACCTCCACATGGAGGGAGGAAAAGCAATCTCTTTTGACTCTGTCAACTCGTGACCAGTTTTTGAGGTCGGAGACAAATTACATTCACGTGTTGTCCTTTTCTTCCTATAGGATGCCATCTTATAAGCAGACTTATGGTTCCGTCTCAGAAGCTCGGTTGTTCCACCGCCTTTCGCCTGAGTCGAGCGAGATGCGCAACTGCCCCACCCTGGACGACCACGCATGTCAGTTTACTCATCACGGGGCCATAGAGCACCGCAATCGGGGTGGATTCAAACAAGACAAGTACACAACTCTCGGACGTTGTGGAAAAAAGGTTCGTTTTCGCAGAGCTCCGGCATGGCACTACCGCGGCATAGCTGAGTACAAGCAAATGAGGGGGAGGCGTGTCAGAGTGCAACTGCGTTTCAGAAGACCAGGCTGGAGGGGCAGGGTACCGGCAATCAACCACGCGCGATCTGCGTCTCTGGATGATGACGGTGGGTGAGCTGTTGACTGCGCCAGTCAGTCTTGCAGTAGCACTGGTGAGCAACTGCTAGGTAGATTCTACTACTAGCCACACTTTGTGTCCTTCCGTTGTAGAGGCGGTTTCGGGCTTGAGAGCACATGGCAGTCCTCGAGCTCCGGTACGGCCAGAGTCCAAAGCGCCACCATCGTTCACGCCAGGCGGCCCGCTAGGCAAAGGAATCGGTTGCCACGTGTTTGTACCCCTGACATCCACGGATTCATCTTGACGAGGGCGAGACACATGACTCGGTGCACATTGCAGGTATTGCATGGCGACTTTTTCCCCCTTCTTTCCCCCCCTTCTTTTTCCTGCCCATTGTGCAGTAGGTACAATACAGTATCCTCCTCGCTCGGCCCGCCTCCGTGCACGTGGATGGAATACTTGGTCGAATCTTCCTCCTCGTACCGTTCCTGTAGCACTATTCACTTGCGGCTAGGGCGGTCAGGACATGGCAAGTCTTTTGAAACGATAAAAGATCAGCATGGGCTGACCGGTACTGGGGTATTGTGACGGCATTGGCACAGTCGCCGGGGATCGTCAGCAGCGGAGGATTGCTGGCCCGGCATCGCTCACAAAGCGCCGGTGTCGTAGACGAGCAGAAAGGCTGAAGAAGGGCAGGAGGGTGCGGGCAGGAAAACGAAGGTCACACCCGCCGTCGCATCTCTTTTGCTCACCATTCTCATCTCCGCTGCGCTTGGCGAATACGAGCTCTGTGTCCCGCTGGCGGATGCAGTGCTTGCCACAAAATGCCTAGAGGGATTGTGAGCGACACGGCGGAAAAAAGAGTGATTTGCCCACCGCCACAGAGGCTCGGAAAAGCACGAGCATGGGGCGCAGTCCAAATGAGTGCATGCACCTACACAGAACACAGTACGTACCTACACGTCCGTCATCGTCATCAGTCGTCGGTGGCTCACGCCGGACATGATCTCTCGGAGACCGTCGCAGTTGGCGAGAGGTGCAAGGTAGCGTGCCGACGACCGACGGCCTGAAACTCCAGCGTACACCGCGCCCACGAGAGCGCTTGTGGACGAGTGCCTGTACATTCTACTATAGGAGTACCTGCCATAGAGATGTACATAGGTACATCTACTCTAGCACCAAGTCTTGACAAGCTGCACGGCGGAATGCTATGTACAGGCAGAAAGTGACGACGGGCGATGCGAGGCTTGGCTCACTGAAGCTGCTAGATGGATCAGCAGTACGATCGCAGCGCTCACCGTTTATCTGCAGCTCTGCAGATCCTGTCTCAATAGACCCAGGTCTCACGGCCGACACTGGGGCTCACTGGAAATAAGTCGGGCCAATGTCAAGACTCAAGAGGAACCGCGTCGGGCATAAAAGAGAGCTCGCCAGGGTCCAGCATGGCGGGATAGCGACGGCCAAGAGTGCTTGACCAAGGACGATGTCTCGCATAAGCAAGCCCAACGACGTGACGATTGGTCTCTGGGGTTGCACACGTGAAAATGGAGAACGGCATTCCTCTGGTCTCCGGATGGGAACAAGCTGTCAAGCTCTCCCCAAGCGGTGTCCCATGTAGGAGTACTGTGTGGTCTTCAGTTGGCTACCGATCATCTGAGAAGTCAAAGTAATCTGCCGAGCGCACTTGACCAACATGACTCTTGGGCTCGCATGCAATACCACAAAGTCATGACATGGGAAGGATGGAGGATACTGGGCTGGAAGCTTCTGTAGTAGGTACATGCCATGGCACAGTACAGTACATTTCTGGAGTCAGCCATTGCCAACATGAGGATGCAGCGGGGGACACGGTGCAGATGGGCATGTGTCACCACGCTGACTTTTTGTGTTGTGCAAAGCAAGGGTGCAACGTGCATTCCACGTTTTCGGCATTGTTTGTTGCCTTCCACACCGTTCCACTTTTGTTGTTGTTGTGTTGTCGTCTTACATGGCACAGGAAAGGGAGGATTGCGATTGGCACGTGTCGGGCTAGACCAAGACACCGTACAACCAGTTCATGGCCGACTGGGGATTGGCGGCCCCTCCAGCGTAGTGCAGGAACGGGCCCTGGACAGCGTCGAGCAAACGGCGGTGCATGATCGAGACCTGGGTTTGCGTTGCTGCTGGGCGTGGGAGGGCCTGTTGTGCAAGTGCAACTACGCTTTTTTCTCTGCGACGAGGGGCTCGCGGTTACACAGGCGCGATGGCGGGAAAGGAGGAGAAGATTGATGTTTGCGGGCAGGACAGGTGCTTTACCTAGTCGGGCCCCAACAGAAGCACAGAAGCACAGAGGCAGCACGGCAGCAGGCTTTTGACTGGCTGGTACCGGCGTTGCTTGTTGCGTGCAGTGTCGCCAGCATGGAACAAAGAAAAGAGGGCGCGCCCTTCCCCTCTCTGCCTGCTTTGTCTCGCGTGTTGGCAATGGCCGGAACAAGACAGGCTGGTATGAATGAGCACGCCTGACACGGACATGTTCTAGGGACGACGGGCTCTGTCTTGGAGCGCGGACGGTGCACGCATCGTCCATGGCTTAGGGTGAGTACACAGTATGTATCCATGCCATGGTATATCTACGGTTTACAGTCGCAACCAGTGGTATCTTGGGCCATAATAGTACTAGAGTATTGGTAGTGACTTCAAGCGTGAGTGTGGGTGTGGGTGGTAGGTACTTTGATGGATTGCATCATTCGCAGGTGATGGAATGGTGATGGTGGTGATGGCATGGAATGACTGGTGGCTGATGGCTGATGACTGAGCTGTGACTGAGCAGGCCCAGCGGACGGTCCCTCTCTCCCTCCCTCCCTCCTTCCTTTCGGCGATGCGGCCTCTGTCGCCTTTTCGGCAGCGTCTCACGAGGCACAGGGGGCGGCAGGAAGGACTCCGCCATGCAGGGATGCCTCGTGGGCGCCGCCATGTTATTCCCATGCGGTCGTGGGCGTGCATGCCGCCATGTGTCTCGCACGCGCGCTATTGCCCTCGTGGCTAGTGCCTTTGTCATGGCCGCACCCCCTTGCGGTATACTTTTATAGAGCCTAGGGAGGATAGGGAGGATAGAGAAGATACTAGAGAGGGGGAGGGAGATAATAATAGTAATAAGTAGGAACACGTTAAGAACGTGTTAAGAATAGGTTCTAATAAATAATATATAATAGTATATAACCTAAAGAGGTAGTAGTAATTACTAAAATAAACTCTCTACTCTTCTCTTTTTTTTTCTATCTACTAAAAGTAAAGTACTATTTACTTTTATAGGGTCCTTTAATAGTATATAACTTTTTCTTTTAACTTTTATAGGTATTATAAAGCTCTAGCAGTCCCTTAGATTAAAGAAGAATCTAGTATTTATAGGTATCTAGCTATAACGTATTATTAATATATTCTAAATATATTTTAAGAGACTAGACTTATATCTCCTTTTTACTACTTTTGCTAAATATTATTTATAGTGTAAAGGGGAGCAACTATTTACTTCTCTTCTTTACTCTCTACTTCCTCTTTAGCCTCTACTCTAGCTACTACTTCTTGTTATAGACTAGCTATCTTAGAGGGTTCTTAAACCTTAGAGGAGGCACTTAGTATAGTCTACTCTACTAGTAGAGAATATATTATTAACGTGTTTAGAACATATTCTTAAGCATTTACTATTAAGCTCCTATAGAAGATCCTTGCTTCTGCAATGCCTTGTATTATGGTTCTACTATAGTCTACTAGGGCCATCCAAACACCACACACCCCAATCCCCAACCTCCCCGTCGTCAGCGTCCTCTCCGTGGCCGCTCTCCGCCAACCCCGGCTATCCGCCAACGGCGCGACCAACGCAAACGCGGGCCAGCGCGCCGAAACGAAGAGGAAGATTCGCCAGCCAAAGCGCGTGGCAAGTCGAGCAGCTGTGGCTTCTACCGAAGGTAG